CCCAAAATGAAGCCCAGCTTTCCCATAACCCAAAAAAAAACCCTAATCAACCTAATACTAAGCTGATCATCCTAGACCTAAGAAAAACGAAGGGGTTACATTCGTTTTTCGGTGGTTTCTCCTTTTTCCGACAGTGAGATGCGTGACTTCGAGTGGTAAGCTACTCCTTTCTCTCCCTATGTTTTCCTTTCCTATTTTTCTTTTCGAAAATATCTCCGATTTTTTGTGGTTATTCTCCCTTTTTTATGAAAATTGTATTCTCTTTTCTTTTTATGGTGTTGCCTGTTGTGTTTATGGTTTGCTTCGGTATTACCCAGAAAATAGGGCATGATTGTCCTATTTTGTAGCTGATAGTCTCAGATTTGTCTTGAAAACTATTTAAGATTTTTTTACTATTTTTATTGGCCTACAACAATGGTCTAACTGAAGTGTTGATAGTAGGGATGAAATAACGATGGCGGCATGAGTAGACATCAATAGTCAGCAATGCAGCAGGAGGTAACAGTGGCGGTGACAAGACTGGCTCAGCTCAGATGATGTCGGTGGCAAGAGCTGGGTAAGGCTCGGCTGGAGCGATGGGTGATTAGGGTTTCAATAAACCCTAATTATCTTTCTATTGGGCTTCAGTTTGTTGGGCTAGAACTAGGTCACTTAGGGCTTGTTTAGTTTGGGTCGAACCGGTTAGGCCCGTTTTGATGTTGTAATTGGGCATGCAAATGTAATTATTTAATATAATAATAATAATAATAATAATAATAATAATAATAATAATAAGAACAACAACAACGGGACAAAGACCAATGTCTACATGTAGAACACAAAACTATCCGGATAAATGAATTGGAAATTGTACCATTTATAGAAATGCAAGTGAAAATGAATAAAGAAAGCAATGTTATAATGAATTAGTAAAAGCCTCCTTTCAGCTCCTCTTGCTTTATTTTTGGGGGTAAATTCATCGTAACCGGAAATTTTTCTAAGTTCGAAGATATGACAATTCACCTTATGTATAAAGAGAAAATGGAGACAATAATAACAAAAAAGAAATTCATTCAGAAATATAAAAAAAATCAAATCCAATGATACTCTTCCTTGAGAATTATGACTAACATCAAAAGAACCTAATAACTTTAATAAAATCTCATTGTTTCTGTCAAATGAAATGTTTTACGAAGTGATAAAGGAGCGGTGAGTGAATTAAACTATATGGTAGGTTGCTTTGCCTTATAATTATGATTATATCGACAAACGATCTTTTACCAAAAAACGAATCTGACTTTACGTGACTATCAACAAACTGATTAGAAAACAAATATCGTGAGGGTCTTTGTGAAGACACCAAAACGGAAACAAAGGTATGGTGGAGCGGATGTCCATAACAGTTGTGATGTTGCATGTCTATACATATGAACAAAAAAATTTTACATTAAAGTTGGATGAAAAATGAACAAATAAAATTTTTGAGAAGGAAAACATTTTTTAATAAATATAAAACACTAAAAATTATATGTTAAAAGATTTAAACCAAAAATATATTTGATAACATTTTTAAAAATCAATTAATTGAAAATTAATAATATTAACGATTATTAAATTTGTATGGTAATGTAAAACTAAACTTATTCGTTAAACTATAAAAAAATGTTAAATTGATAAATGCGTACTTCTTATAGAGAATTTTTTAACGCTTTTAATTTAAATTATACTTTAAATTTTATATTTTTAAATGATTTAATTATATTTAATACTTACTTTTAACAAAAAATATTTTTAATGGTCTTGGATGATTACAAGATAATATATATTCAAAATCTTTCTTAACCATTAATAATGCACACATACCCACAGACATCTGTTTGATCCCAAAATTCATAGGAAGAACAATACTCTTTGTAACTACTGAGATCATTTGATGAGTTAATTTTAACAAACAAATATTAAATATATTTACAATTTGAATTTAACATTTATTTTCTTTAATTTACCCGACAACACTTAAATTTAAATTTTAAAATTATCATTATTTAGATAATTTTGTTTAAATATCACTTGGACTCCAAAACAGAATTATCATCAAATTGTAAAATTTGGGTAGGACGATTGCTTATTTTTGGATAATTATTCACTGAAAATTTAAAATTACTATATTTTTTAGAATTTTTATGTTTTTTTTATTGAAAATATATTTTCTCCCATAAAATTTTATAAATTTATCATCTCCTAAAATTTTATAAATTTGTCCCCTCCTAAAATTCTAGAGATTCGTCCCTCCTAACTTAAAATATTATATCCGTCCTTATGGTAAACCTACCCCTCCCAATGTAACGTATGGGTGGCAGTTCAAGGTCGTCACTAATAGTCATAAAAGCTCATAATTATAATTAGGGTAAATTACACTTCAAGTATATAAATTATCAATTTTAGTTTATTTTAATATCTAAATTTTCAATTTTTTCTAAACCATACATATCATTTAGTTTTTGTTTCATTTTAGTACCCCTCCGTTAAAAACTTAACGGACAGGCTCGCTGGTTGCTGCGTCTATAGTTGTCAACCGTCGTATCTGTCGGTCGATGGAGACCAAACTTTCCAGCCCACACATTCTCGACCTTCCGAACATGATTTTGGCCTCCATTTCACCAGAAAATGCATCAGACTCCCCGAATTGATGACGGACTCTTCAACTTCTTCATCCTCCGATCTTCGTCGTCAATCGTCCGATGGGACTAAAACTGGATTATGTTGGTCGACTCATAATTCTCTTGTGATCCACCGTTCGGATTGGTCGTCCATCCACCGCAGCGATGCCCCCTTAGCCCGTCTGTTAGTTTTTAATGGCGAGCTACTAAAATGATACAAAAACTAAACGTTAGGTATGACTTTGAAAAAAATAAAAGTTTAAGTACTAAAATGAATCAAATTTGATAGTTTAGATATTAAACGCATAATTTACCCTTGTGACTAATTAATTCTTTTTTTCCTTTAACCATCTATATGGCCAAACGTGAAGTAAATAGTGCTTGTTGGTTTCAGGTTAAAGTCATATCCTCAAGAAAAAAGAAAAAAAACATTCTAAGATTGTCTAAAGGTGAAGTAAATAATATTTTTTTAGAAAAGGATTAAGGCAATTGAAATAGTAAGTAAATTAATTTAAAATATAAGATTTATCTAAAGAGTATATAGTAATTAGATTACACCATATATTATATATCATATATTATTTAAAAATGTGAAATTATAAGATAATAAAAATATTAAAAATTAAAACAACATAATTCTATGTTAAAATGAAGTATTACCGGCATGTTAGATTCGAGCAACAACACACCTTTATTATTATTTATTATATCTTAAATTATTATTGTGCATACGGACAGCAATAAAACTCTTCGATTACTGTCTGCCCCGTCTATTAACCTGTTCGATTACTCTCTGCCCCGTCTATTAACAACCCTTTTGAATTGGTGCGATCAATATCAAACCGACAAAGCTTGGTTCACCGACTTCCAAAAGATCTACTGTGAAACAAATGCAGCGACGGACTATATCGCCAAGATGGGCACTTTCCCCGATGGCTCTCTCATCATTTTTTATTCATTTCCGACTCCTCTACTCGATATCCTTCACAGAGATATTTATGATCTTTTATACTCTCGAATGTGAAAATTAATTAATGACTTTAGCCTCTTTCTATTTTAAAAAATATTATTCTAAAATATATTTAATTAATAATTTTTATCCGGTTCAGAGAAGAAGTATTTTAATTTAGTTAAAGGCATTTGGATTAATTTAATAATAATTAAAAAATACATTTTTAATTTAATTTTGTTTTATTTTATTGTGTATTTTAAGTTTTAAAGTTTTAATTTTCACCTATCTTAAAATTTAAATTAATTGTTCGTAGTGCAATGATAAAAGACTTCTGTTAAATTAAAATTTCAGTTAATTTTAAATTGTCGATTTTGAGTAATCATTTTTTATTTATCCTCTATACAAAAGTTATTTAGTATAAATAATTAAAAAAAATCACATTGGCCAACAACCAGTTGGTCTAGTAAGATGAGACACTAGATTCCTTAAGTAATGTTAGGGATTTTAATCCTGACGTTTGTGAATAGGGAAAATTGGGTTGAGAGGTTCGTCATTGCCTCTGCAATACATGATCTGGATTAGCCGATCAATAGATCGGATACAAATGATTAATTAAAAAATAAATCACCTTAAATTTTTATCTTGGTATCTATATATGAAAAAATAACACTATTTATAATATTGATCATAAAATATGAAATTAATATATTATTATTTTTAATAAAGAATTATGATTTATTTTTAATAGTTTAGGTTGATTACAAGATATCACATGTTCATATTTTTTTAGTTACTGACAACGCATACACCTTACACATATTAGGGTGTTCAAAACCGGGTACCCACATTTTTGGCTATTGGAAATACCATGTACTCAGGATCTTCGGGTACCAAAATATCATATCGCGTCCCAACCTATTAAATTTGAATACTTGTATTTTCGGGTTGCAGTTACCCACAAATTCATTTTTTAAAATATATTATTTTTTTTTAAAAAAGTAGAAAATATATAAAATTTAAAGATCTATAGTACTCAATCTACCTATAAAATTTAAAAATTTAAATTATATAATCGAAAGAAAAAACTTATTAAAAATAAAATTAAAGAAATACAATTAGAGATTGCAATTCTCATGGGCTAATAATACTTACAGTTCACCTAACCATACACTCTTTCAATGTGTAGTTAAATCCCACAGTGCAATTCTCTGGAAGCGGTGAGTTTGACTTAAAGTGGCAATTGAGCTTTCTTTGAACTTGTTTCTACTTCAATGTTGAATATGTAAGCAATAGGAAGTACGTTTTGTCTCTTTGCTTGAAAAGTAAAGCCTATCACTTGACCAAACTATAAAATTACTCTGTGTTTGTTCTTGTTTTTTTTATACATACACACACAGATTGAACTAGAACTATGACGATGATGGGTTCTGAGAAAATGGAAAACTCCATGGAAATAGAAAAAGAGAGTTTTGGAAGCAGTGAGATGGAGAAGACGAAGATAAGTCTTATGAGGATCTTGGTTGAAAGACAAGATCCATCTTCCAGGGTGAGTTTATCTTTTTTTTTTCATTGTTTCGTTGCGTTATCGTGATTATGAACATAAAAAATGCTGTTGACGTGATTATGATTGTGAGTATTGCGATCATGCAGTAACAGATTTAAATACCTACAGAATCATGATTTTTTTTTAATAAACTTGAAAGCTACAAGGAAACTTTTTTTTTTCCAAGATTCTTATTTTCTTACTTCATCTTTTTTCCTGGAAACAAGAACGAAACTCTTGAAGACACAAGCCAAGGTTGTAAGGATCGTCAAGATCATCTCTTCATTTCAAAATACAAAAAAACACGAAACTTAATTCATGAATTTAAGATTTTGATTCAAATCTCTACAGTTTAATTAACCACAATAAGTTTCTTCATTTTAGATTGCAACCTTCCACTCCGATATTCATATGCCTGCCATGAATTTAAATTGCGGTTAGAATCATGTTTTTGGTTTTGTTGTGTTTATCATTATTATGAATATATTAAGTGATATTGCACTGATTATGGGTATCAGGGTCATACAATAATGGTTTCGAACGAGACCACTACTACTATATAATTGACACCTTTATAATAGCGGACTATTTAAATCCTTGGACTATCTACCTATATAGCACGAGTACAGCAATTCAGTGTCATACCAAGCATGCAATACGTCCCCAACATGGGTACAGGATGGGTATAATTTGGGTATGTACTGGAGACGTCCATATTTAAGGGGTATGATTGAAATTAATTGGGTACATTGCAGAATTTTCGGAGACGCATCGGGACGATATTTGATCTTCACGTACATATCCAGAATTATTTTTAAGATTTAAATAAAAAGTTATAGATGCTATTTTGGTGATTGTGGGTATCGCGATCATAAAATAACGATTTCAAATGGTACCACTACTACTATATAATAGCCGCTATTATGATAGCGGACTGTTCTTTAAATTTATGTACTATATGCCATGCATTTATTTTACAATTCCCATACAAATACTATATCGAAATTTGTGTTACACTTTACTTGTATAATTTTACCACGGATTTAGGTTTTCCAGGAAGTTGACGATTCGACATTGAGAAGATTTCTGAGAGCTCGTGATCTTGATGTAGAGAAAGCATCAAACATGTTCCTTAAATACCTCAACTGGAAACGAAACTTTGTTCCCAACGGTTCCTTTTCAGCAACCGAAATCAGGCATGAACTCGAACAGAATAAGATGTTCTTGCAAGGTTCGGACAACAAAGGACGACCGATAGCAGTAGTTCTTGCTTCAAGACATTTCCAACATGAAGGGGGCGTTGAAGAATTCAAGCGTACGTTATTTACTTTCAAACTTCCACAAAAAATTTTCAGTTTTTCTTTGCTGATGACTTTGAATTTTCTCACCATGTTTTTCTATGATTCATGTTAACTTACAGGTTTTCTGGTCTACCTTTTCCACAAAATATTCACAAGGTAGTCTTCGATTCATATTTATAAATCAACCAATCAGTTATTCTTGGATAATTTTCTGTTTACATATACACATAGCAAGGGCCGAAGTCAAGGAATTAGTGCTGGGGCTGAGATAAATTAAAATATTTTGATGTCATGGTCAAAGTTTTCTATTAAAATAGTTTAAATTGAATTATGTATTAAGATAAAGTATATAAATGTTATATGATTATAGGATGTTGTTTTGTCGAGTCTCGGGTATTAAAAGTTATAAAATTATTTAAGAGTTGCTTTGTTAAGTATTTCGATTATTAAAAGTTACAAAATAGTCATCCGACTATTTATATGTTTCAAACCCATCTTTTTCTGTTAAAAATTTAACAGTAGTCTGAACTAGACATTAATCAGCTTATTGAGATATGATAAAATGATATTTATCGGCACCACTGTTGCTTTCAAACATTGACTTGACAACATAATATAAATAGAGAGTCGGTCCACAAAATACAACTCAAATAGTTATGAGATCAAATTTTATCATATCTTAAGGCATATTCAAATATTTAAAAATCAGGGTCCAAAATTTTTAATACTATTTTTTTCAACAAGATGGGTATGCAAATTTTTTTTAAAATTTTTTCTTATTCCATTAATATATTGAATTATATTTAAAAATTTATTCTAAATAATGGGTATGTATTTGACCTCTAGGAGGATAAGTGCATCCGCCTCTGATCTCAATTAATATGTTAACATTCAACTCAGAAGACCATCATTTTTAATAGAAAATGACAAGTTTGAAACATATGAAAAGTCGAGTGACAATTTTCTAATTTTTAATAGTTATGAGACTCGACAAAGCAAATTAAGTCCAGAGTTATCATTTTGTAAGTTTTAATAAACGGAAACTCAACAAAACAACCCCTATAATTAGGGGACCACTTGTATATTTTACCCCAGTTATTATTAGAAGGGTCAAAACTATTTTCTGAAATTGAATGCATTAGTGTGTATATGATATATTCATTTGAAAATATGACAGGATGCCTCCAGGACAAGAGAAATTCATTGTGATTGGAGATCTTAAAGGCTGGGGGTACGCAAACAGCGACATCCGTGGATACCTTGCAGCGCTCTCTCTCGTGCAGGTTTCTCTCTTTCGATTCATCTTCTTCCCTGCAATGGCTGTCTTGAATAAATCCAATGTATATTCCCCGGAAATGGCAGGATTATTACCCTGAAAGACTAGAAAAGCTCTTCATAGTTCATGCACCTTACATATTCATGACTGCATGGAAAATCGTTTACCCTTTCATAGAACAAAAAACCAGGAATAAGGTAAACCATTCACTCACACTTCTCAAACAACAGAAGAATAAACATGCTGATTAATATTTTTTATTTGTTTTTTCTACAGATAATGTTCGTTGATAACAAATCGCTGAAATCGACTCTGCTTGAAGAAATAGACGAAAGCCAGCTCCCTGAATCATTGGGTGGCAAGCTTCCATTGGTTCCCATTTAAAACAGCTGAATCAGCTTATTCATTACATTTATCTGCATTGCGTATTGGTTTGGACCGAGTCTTATCGGGGAAAAAAGTTGGAGTGGGTGGCCATATTAGAAAAATATTGTAAGCAAATAAAAGAATTAGAGAAATGCGACTCGTGGATGGTTTAAATTATTTTTTGGGTCAACGTTATTGAGCTATTTTTTCCAGACCCTTTCATCTAAAAATTGTATATTATCTAATGCTTAGAAGATTATTAGTCGGGTCGTACAGAATTGGTTTGAGTACATGTATGATATCAACACTGATATATATGTTTCTAACTTTGATTCAGTTTAAAATTTTAAATATGAGTGAGTATTCAAATATGTTTTAAATAAATAAATAATCCGTCAGAATTGTGTAAATCTATGAATTGAATAAGTCAAAATGTAAAAAATAAATAAGACTTCTTCGGTTAAATTTGTTGATGGACAATAAGCGAGGCGATAATTCACAGTGATTTTTTTTAAATTAAATAATTGTTATAGATTAGTTAAAAATGACATCGTTTAATACAATATCAAAAATACAATTCAAACATTCTGATATGAGCACGACCATGAGCTTGGAAAGGTTCTTGGAAACTTTTAGGAGGCCATTTGATCGTGGAAAATTATCAATATCAAGTAAGCTTCAAGATCATACAAACTTAATTCAAGCTGCTCAAAGCAAGATTGGATTTGCTTGGCTCTATTTCAATCCCAAGGAAGAACCTCCACCGACAAGATGCAATACAAGCTTGGAGGAAGCTTTGGAGATTCTATTAGTTATATCTAGTTGAAATCTTTAATTAATACAATCTTTAATTCATATTTCACTTGTGTCCACAACACATCAAGGAGCTAGGAGGAAAGATAGCATGCATGCTTCACTTGGAAGGCTTGGAAGACATATATTCTCCATTTGCAAGACTTTGGATGTTGCATGCATCCATCATACTCTAATACATTTATTCATCCACCTTGGAAGACATATTCTTCACTTTCAAGGTTTTGGATGTTGCATCCTTCCACCAAACTCAAATAAATTCTTTCACCCACTTTAGAAGGCACAGAGGGGAAGCAATTTGAACTTTCAAGCATTCACCTTTCTTCCATGCAATGTACGACACAAGGGGGTTGTATTTAGAGCTTTGGTACATTCATTCATCTTTAAAAAAGACACGATGGAAGAAGCATCAAGGAACATACGTGAATGACAAGATTCATTAATGCCTAAATACATGGACAGTATTAGTGAAGAATTCATTCATCCTAGATTCATTTATCTTCCTTGGATAAATTCATCTATCTCTTATTAATATTTGCTTGTTCATATATTTGTAAAAGCCTATAAATAATGGCTTCTTTGTTCATTTGAACATGCCTTAAAACCTTTGAAATTTGAAAATACAATTGAGTTTGTCTCATTGTTTATCGTTAGACTTATCAAGCCTAAAAATGTGGCATCTCTCTACTGAACTTATCACTTCTATTAGTGTGGCATTCAAACCATCAAATTATTACTTTGTTTCCTATCTCTTCAATAGATAGCGGGTCAAGTTCAATATTCTATCTATTTTGTTATATTGAAGGTTCCTAACTCTTTATAGCTAGTGGGTCTAGATCCATTTTATTCATCAAAAATTCCTAGACAACATCACCCATCCTTCAGCTTATGTACAAATCAATCTAAGGTTTCAATTTGAAGTCTACTACGCTCGAGCAACCTTAATTCGATTGGGAACACAAGCATTTTGACTTCACATTCGAAGGTCTTCATAACCTCATTAGCTATATCAGGAAAAAACAAGTATACCCCAAAATTTATAATGCACATTTTACATCATAGATCTAAGATAATGACTAAGTGAACTATGAAGTCGATATTTTTGTATTTTTAATATCATCCCAATACTTGTTTTACTTCTTCATTTTTTGTAAGCCATGGAGATTATTTCTAAGTCTTCACAATTTATCCATTCATCAAGTAAACAATGCATATCTATTAATGTTTCCCAAAGGAAATGAGAGTTGACATGCAATGATATAGTCACATTAAATATAAGACCATAAAAAGGCTTTAGAAATTTTGCAATTCTTCTTAAAATTTCCCAATCATCAAATGTAGGTACTCCATATCTAATTACGAGGTCGAGAAAAAAGCTATTGTTGACACGAGAATATGAATCAAACGCATGCTCATATTTTCAGCCACCTTTAACATCATATACGTTGAGTTCCACCTAATAGGCACGTCTAAACGCAAATGAAGTTTAGTATTTATCATTTCTTATTCTACCCAATCACAAACTTTTTTTCATCATCAATGGTGATGTTTTTATGTAACTAACAGCAGCTCTAACTTGATCGACATACATAGAACCATACTTAACACCATGTACGATGAGATCAATAACGTTTGTAACACATCTCATATGAATATATTTATTTCCCATTTGAAACACAAGTAGTTCAATGGTACAATTTCTTTATAAAAGATTCAATATCAACACTATTAGCAGATGCATTATCAATTGTAATAGTGAAAACCCTCGCAATCCCCCAATCCCATATGTATTTTTTTGGCGGTGATTTTTCTTTCACCTATATGAGCATATATCAAACAAAATTTTATGATTCTCTTATGCAAAATCCACTCATCATCTATCCAATATGTTGTTTGAGCATGTAAGATACCCTTTGCAGTGAATTCTAAGTGCAATTGTCAAAACAATTCTACTCATATCTCTAATACTCAATTTTTGTCCAGCCTAACTTTTTCCAAGGCCTAAATATTTTTATTGAAGCTTATTTTAAAGTGTGAGACATCAATCGACTTGCAACAAATTTTTCAGACAAGATCCAAGCATTTCCAGGGCATGATACTTCTCGAAATGGAACTGACTTTCACTTAGCTTTCCAACGTATTTTGAAACACCTTAATTGAATGTTGAGAACTCAAGATATGCTTATTTTAGTGAAGATAACGCGCGTAGAAAATTAAATATGGGTCCAATATGGAAATTTTAATTTATTATGAATTTTCAATTATTTTATTGATTATTTGTAATTAAATATAACTTTATACTTTCCATTATTTATTTAGGATAATTTGGAATCTTTTTATTATTTTAAGCATTTTTCTTTTTAATTAATATATCTAGCATTAATGAAAAAAATATTAGGGTATTCTTTTAGGTTTTTTAAGGCTTATAAATAGGCACTCATCCTATGTAGAAAAAAGAGGGGAGGAAAAAGAGAGGAGGAAAAATGAGAGAAAAAAAGAGGAGAAAAGAGAGAAAATGGAGAGACACCCAAAATATTGTAATTTGAGAATAGAAGAAATAAAAGGGATTTTTTGTTTCAAGGTACTTCTCTTTTTTATTTAATTTTGGCTTTAAACTTTTTTGTTTATGTTGAGTACGACTTTATTATTTTTCATTCAAAACTCTATCGGATGAAAGAAAACCGAAGAACAAGAAAAATACTTTTGAATAGATTTCTTAAATCTAGCAGTCCTTGAGGTTTCTCAGTTAAAGGCAACATTTTTATTTTTATTTTTATTTTCATTTTCATTTTTATCTTTATTTTTGAGTTTTATTGTTTCGGTTGATTTCAACCTTGGTTTTTTTCAAAAATTCTATCAGAAGAGAGAAAATCGAGGAACAAAGAAAAATGCTTTTGAATACATTTTCTTAAATCTAGCATTCCTTGAGGTTTCTAAGAGAAAATCAATAATTATTTTTAAATTTTTATCTATTTTATATTACCTTTTTATATTATGTATACTTTTATACTTTTATACTATTAATATTTTTTATATTATGTTTAAACATGTATAATCTTTAAAAAAATTAATTTTTTACTTTTTCTTTTCACATTTTGTATATAAATATAAATATAAATATATATTTTATATCTCTATATTTATCATATCATGTATATATATTTTTACATATTTAATTATACATACACCCATATTAACTCTTTCTATTTATTAGTAGTATTATCATTATTCTTTTTTCTTTTCTTTGTATATATACATTATTTATATTTTTTACCTTTTATTATTTTACTTTTTTGGTAATTTTGGTAATTTGTGTATTCCATTTACGCATTTAGTTTTAATTCTTTGTTTTATAATTCTAGCATGTTAGTTAAATTTATCATTTGATTTGTTCCTTTTTGTAATTAATTTTCACTAATTATATTGTTTAATTGCATGACATTTTTGTTTGATTAAAGAAGTATGATACTCTCACGTACATAACTCGACATTTTTAAAATTGAATTAAAAGACAAAAATTTAGTTAATTTAAATTATAGAAAAGGGTTATGTAACACCTATCTCTCATATCCCTTTCTGTACACGAGATACAGATGTTGCATCACTTTTAAAACATTTCATCATTTAAAACCCCTTAAAATTTTGTTTCCAAATTTCTTAAAACATAACATTTGTTTTATGTACAACAAAACATTAATTTGAAATCTGTTACGATGTTCTACTTAAATACAATTCAGAGCATTTTTCGTACTTTAATTACATGCCAACTAAGTTTTTCAAAATAACCCGGATTGTCCTATTGCTATTGACGAGTCAACCTTAATTGATGATAGCTGATGTTACTGTTGCACTCCTTTCTCGGCTAATCTCTACCTTCATCTATGCGTGAAATCAACACACGTTAAATATTTACTTAGTGAGACATAATATTGTAAAGAAACATTAATGTATATATGAGTATATCATGATTTCTTGGTTTCGAACTATTCATATCATTCATAAGGATTAGATAGGTCCCTATTATCTAAACTAAATTTCTTTCATACTATCATCATAAATACTCTTAGTATGTCCATCATACCTTTCTTTATGTACATTTTCCCATTATTCTTTAATAATTATTCATTATTTTCATTTATGGTATCCTTTCATGCCCTTAATGCACAGTTGTGCATTTCATTTATGGTGTCTTTTCATGCCTTTAATGCATAG